CGCATGAACTGTATAGATGACAAAAAATTATACCCACTGATGGCTCTGTCCTTGTGCTCATACACTTGCAAGTGCAGTCCACAGTGGGTGCTCAGGTAAATAATGATATTTACATTCAAATCCAATACCATTATTACAGCCAATGAAATTAACTATAATTTCCAACAATGATTTCAAATGTACTGTATTTTCAACATTACTTCACAGACTTTTTGTGTGTAACAAAATTAATTTCTTCAAAAACTATCACCTTCCACAGTTTGGCCAATAACAAAGAAATTTAGAATTCTTTGTCCATTTTGTCTTAGCTTTCAAACTGATGTTATACAATTTATTAGATGATGTTACTGTCTTTCTTAAATTTAAGTCTATATGTCATTATATAGTGATGTTCTCTCAGTCTTGATGTGGAAATTTTCTCATATCTCATTTCATTTCACCAGTCTATAAGGAAGATTTGCAGTATTTTATTCTCAAAAACAATCTTCTTTCAGTGGTAATATCTATTTTTTCAGGTTCTATTTCATTAATTTTCTACTATTCTCTCTTCATAAGTGTGACAAATATTTGGGGAAATAACTTATGTGTCATCAAATGATAAAAAGAAAAATGGATCCTGTAGGAAGCCAGGCCTTTCCAGAACACTGTGGATATTAACATAGATATGAAACAGCCTGGGTAGATGAGGGAGACATGATACAACAGTGCAGGAACAACAAAAGACTAAGTGACTCCTCAGAGAGCTGGAGTATGGGATGGCCATTGAGAATTCTTTCAGGCTGAAATGGAGGCAAAGGGCAATAAAATTCATATCTCAACTCTGCTGGACCAAGTTGGGTGTTTACATCTTCCTAAGGCCCATCAAGACCATTTTGCTTCTTGTTGGATTTATTGTTTTTGTTTGTTTTTATGTGTTTACAGACAAAGTAAAACTTTCATTTTAAATTCAGGCAAAGAAATGAGTTGTTTAGCTTGCAGTTCCAGGATACAAAGCAAAGTCATTTCAGAAACTCAAACATCACACCCACAATCAAAAGCAGAGAAAATAAAGGCAACTATACTATCTGTTTGCTGGGTGATACACACCTAGCTTTTTTCACTCTTCTTACAATGTATGGGTCCCTGTATCTAATGAATTGGTGCTACCCACACTCATACATTCTGAATTATTCACCTAATGGTCACAAAGCTGTTATGTCAAGTATAGAGGAAGTATATCAGGAGAGCTAAATGTGGTCCAAGATAAGTTGGCTCTGGACCTGCAGCATGTCAACCTCTCCAATTCATTGAATTTTAAAAAGTTAACAATTATTACAAAAGGATCAGTTTGAAGGTTCTGCTTCATGGTTGGGACCAAGTGTTATGTGGTATTGAGAACAATTACTATGCAAATCTCTCTAGAAGTATAAGAAGAGAAACTTGCAAGGCCAATGTTGATCTAGAAATCTCTTTACAATATCATCTGCTTTACAGTATTGAAGTTGGTATAGGGGACATATTCAGATTCCTCAGATCTTGGATGTGTTTGGGAATCCATGAATGGACCTGGTAAAGATCCCTGGAGATAAATTCCTTGTGTCCTCTCTAATGGGTCCTCCTATCACTTGATTTCCAGAACTGAAGACATCCAATACTGGTGAAGTGGTTGTAGCTATGCTTCTTGTACCCAAACTGCTAGTGGTAATTGTTGCCTCTGCCATCTACATGCATAAGAAGAAGAAGGCTTGAATGTAACTAAATAGAAATGGAGGCTGTGTTAGTTGCTATTCTGTCAGTGTGACAACACACTACTATGAAAACAATGTATATGGTCTTACTGGTCCAAAGGCATAGGAAACCATCAAGCCTGAGAGGCATGGAAGACAGATCAGTGATCTAAGTTTTCATATCCTTGGCAGAAAGCATGAAACAGACAGAACAATCTGGAAATATCACAACACATTTTAAAATCAAAGTTCACATTCTCTGACATACTTCCTCTGGCAATACTGCACTATCTAAACTTCTCTAAGAATAACAACAACTGGGAACCAAGTATTCAAATATAGAGATCATTTCTTATTCAAACTACAAGGGGAATTCAGTCTAGAGACTAAAATAGAACAGAGAATCAATAGGAGGGTCAAGGTATTTGTCAAATTTGTCAATAATTTATGATCTGTGGAGTTGACCTGTTGTGGATCCTTGGGAATAATTTAAAACCCAATGAGACATTGAAGCTCCAAGGAATTAAGTGTTTCCTGCAGGAAGGGTTAAGTCATGATCTACAAAGGTGTCCAAAGAGACCTACAGATTGTTAAGGACATAGGTCTAAGGAAGGATGTGGAGGATTGGTCTCACTGCTCCTGTGGCAAGTCACCACAGTAATTAGAAGGCAGGAATTCTAATTGGGAAACAGCAATCTACATTAGGGGCCAATTTTTAGAAGTTCTAGAGAATGTTTCTCATTCTGGTCTACAGTAAAACAAAACAAAACAAAACAAAACAAGTGGTCTTAGAAAGAAGTTAACAGTCTGTGACTTTCAGAGAAAAAAGAACAGTAGGTAGTTTGATATGGCAGTCAAGTGGTGAAAAAGGCAGGAATTTTCAAAGACTTTAGCAACATTGATGAGAAGGACCTTGATCTGCATTGGAAACCTAGTAATGTGCCATAAGGCTAAGACTCCATCCAAGTGATGCTTCGATTTATGGAATTTATGGAATAAGCAAAGCAATTCCTAGTCTCAGGAAGCCATTCATTTAAGAACCTGCAGCAAATGTGTTCTAATCTTGGTAGGGTACATCAAAACTTGGCAGGATTACTTATGTTGTACTGATCCTGGAAAGAAGAAAGATGAAAATCTTAAAGGTTATGGTGTTAAGGTGTTCCTGCCTGGTTCCTCAGCCATCTTAGAGCCCCCAAATGACACATGAGACACTTTATTAATTATAAACCTATTGGCTTGTAGCTAGGACTCTTATTGGCTAGCTCTGTCTTGAGTATTAACTGATAACTACTAATATATCTATTTATACATGGTCTTTTCTTACCAAGAATGATAGACTCATGTGTCTTCTCCCCCGGGGATTACATGGTGACTTCTTTCTTACTACAATTCCTAGAATCGTCCTTGTATTTTCTTCCCACCTATCCTGCTTCCCTATTGGCCAACTGTGTTTTATTCATCAACCAATAATACAAAAATATACAGAAGACCATTGCCCATCAGTCCTGGATTCTACTTCTGTGGTCAAATCATTTATATTGTGTCATCTATGTTTGACAGAGTCAGAGCCTAAGTGAGTAGAGTGTGAGAGTTCATTGTATGAACCAATAAAGATGAAGATGTGTTTAATTTGAGAGCACAGGATGTTGAGATACCCAAGCTATGTGACATCTGCCATGGAGAGCTGCATATAAGGAATGGAAGTCACAAAAGAGGGAGAGAGTGCAATATGAGACATTTCAGGCATAGAGCTATCTATGCAGTTTGAAAATGATGCCCCAAGTGTCTGAGACAAAGCCATAGTATTTGGCACTAGCCCTGATGAGTTTCAGTCTTGCCTTGGTACAATCTTCCCTCACTTCTCTCACATTTCTCTTTTCCATTTAATTTTTTACTTTTTATTCTTCTCTCATCCCAACTGCAGTGTCTCCTCACTCCACTCCCCTCAATCTTCCAGCTTGTTCACAAACCCATCTTCTTCCATTTCACTTTAGAACATAGGCAGACTCTCACAGATATCAGCTAGACATGGTGACTAAGGGTTTCTCTTGTTGTGATGAAACATCAAGATGAAAAACAAGATAGGAGGCTAGGTTTTATTTACATTGCACTTCCAGATTGATACTGACTATTAAAGAAAGTCATGACAGAAACTCAAACAGGGCATGATCCTGGAGTCAGTAGATGATGCAAATGCCATGGATAAGTGCTACTTAAAGGCTTACTTCAAATGATTTGCTCCACTTTCCTTACTATATAACTTCCTTTTTATAGAATCCAGGACCATGAGCACAAGGATGGCACCACTCTCAATGAGCTTAGCCCTTCTGCACTGTTCAATAATTGAGAAAAGTCTCCCTGCTGGATCTCATGGAGACAGGTTTAAAAATCAGTTTCTCTTGCACCGAAATACACCTCTTGCCTGCTGCTGCCCTGCCCCCAATACACACACACACACACACACACACACACACACACACACAGAGCCCATGAACATCGTATGACATGTTACTATAAGAATAGCCACATCCCTGTACTGAATATCAAGGATGGATAAGGCAAAACAGTTTGTGGTAAAGAAGTCGCAAGAGCAGGTAAATGAATCAAATACATGCCTACACACAAACACTCTCCCATTTTAGCAGTCCTATAAAAATGTAATCCTATGTAATCATAACATATATGCAAAGTACTTAGCACAGAACCCTACAGAGCCCTTGATTGCTGCCTCTGTCTGTGTGAGCTCCCATGTCCTCAGGTGATTTGAGTCTGTGGGCTGTTTTCTCCTGGTGCTCTCAATCTGATACAATTCTTTCTCTCTCTTACTGCTGGAGATCCTAAGGCTTGTCTGTTGGTGTCTGCATCTGATCCAACCAGTTTCTGGATTAAGCTTATGGGAATACAATTAGGTTAGTTACCATTCTATTTGTATAGCAGAATATCATTTCATTGATATTTTTACATGTCTTTTTTCATTCTATTGTAAATTTCTGGGACATTAAGCTGAGTTTGGCTTGGGCTCCCTCTCATGGAATGGGCCTAAAGTTAGAGCAGTCATTGGTTGTCCATGCCCAAAAGTTCTGAGCCACCAATAACCCAGCATTTGCATATTTAGCTAAATATAGGTCGAAGGTTTTGTGGCTAGGTGGGTTATACAGTCCAAATATTGAAAGCCTTGCCTGGTTAGAGAAGGCTGTTCAGGCTGTTCAGGCTGTTCAGGCTGTTCAGGCTCCTTTTCCCCCATTCCCAGGAGCCCCTTTTTGGGTGATTTTCATAAAATCTTCAGAGTTTCTGAAGATCAAGGTTTATTGCTTCTTTTACAGTTAGAAAGAAAAGTGGTTCAGCCAATGAGAGTTATATAACTGAGGCTGCACTAGGTTACTGTACAGACTCTCAAATGGCCCTCAATTCCAGTAGACTCTCCGCATACTTTCTTTTTCCATCCATTCCTCACCCTGCTCTCTAGTGTTCCCATGCCCACTCACCTCCAGTCTATCCAGAAAATTTATTCTATTTCCTCTTTCTAGGGAGATCCATGTGTCCCCTCTTGAGCACTCCTTGTTAATAAGTCTCTCTGGTTCTTTGGACTGTAGCATGATTATCCTTTACTTCACAGCTAATATCCACTTATAAGTGAGTTCATACCATGTTTGTCTTTTTGGGTCTTGGTTATCTCACTCAGATAATCTTTTTCTACTTCCATCCATTTTCTGCAATTTTTATGATGTCCTTTTAAAAACAAATTAGTAACACTTCATTGTGTAAGTGTACCCAATTTTCTTTATCCATTTTTGTTTGAGGAACATCTGTGTTGTTTCTAGTTTTTGGCTATTAGGAATTTAGCTGCTATGAACATAGTTGAGCGGATGTCCCTGTGGTAGAATGGAGCACCCTTTGGGTAAATGCCTAAGAGAGGTTTAGATGCATCATGGGGTAGAACCATTCTCAATTTTCTGAGGTACTGATTCTGATTTCCATAGTGGCTATACAAGTTTATAAAAGTTATGTCCCATTCAGGCACCAGAGTGATGTAATTAAAGTGTTGCTCATCTCATACTGTTCTGAGGCTTAAGAGTTTTTTAGTGACTTGAAATTGTTAGGCCTGCTCTTACTATCCCAATGGAATTTTACTGCTGGTGTTTTGGTATCAATCCCAGGTTAGCCACCAATTCATGCAAGTTTTCCATCCAGTTTCTCAGTGCTGTGTATATAAGCTATGTATTTCTCTGAATAGTTAAATGTTACAGTCAGATATGAACAGGTAGGTTCACTGCTTCTTGTAGAATTAGAAGGGAAAGTGGTTCAGCCCATGAGAGCTACATAAGAGAGGCTGTGGAGACTGAAGGCATTTGTTCACACCCATTGTGCAATTCACACATTTGGAGGGATTTATATGGAGGATTTAAAGCAAAAATACCTCAACAAGTGTGGAGTAATGCTTTCCAAATCAGGGTGCTTGTCAGGATTACAAGAAGAGACTACTACAGCTTACTCAAAAAACCCTGAGTTACTTTGAATCATAGCAGTAATGAGATTGGTCCTAGAAAAAAATGGAATTTTAAATAAAATGATTTAATTTTTGTTGTTGTAATCAGAAGTTCTAAAGAGTTTCACAAATGAATGTACTCTCCACTTGGACTTATGTGGAATCTTCACACTAGAAGCATTTTTGCTAGTACATGTATTCTTCATTTTTTAGTGTTTAAAGATTTCCCTGTCACCTGCCTATATTAATGGATGGTATTATAAGTTGAATGCATGTAAAATTGCCAACTTCGTCTTGTGGAAAGTTATCTATTTCACATCAAGGACTAGAAAATTTTCAAACTGGTGTTAGCAACTGCATAGACCACTGTATATAGTGAATTTGTGTAATTGTAGCCACTGTTGATTAAATTAAAGAAAATTAGTTTAAGGAATAAAATCTTCCCACTCATGAATTTGACCTAAGATGGTTTGGTAATAAACTTGAGTTAGTTCTTGTATGTTTGAAAAGCAATCACACAAGACAATATATGTATA